ACCGGTCCTGTTAAATGCCACATCAAATGTATGATGGAACAAAATCATTTCTTCGATGATGGTAGTTTTGTTGCTGAGGAAATGTTGAAATATTTGGAAGCTAAAGATTCAATGAAAGATAATTTAGATGAAGTAGCAAGTGTTATTGCCGCATGTAATAATGAAAAGGTGGAACATGATTGCGAAGGTGCCTATATGTTAATGAAATGTTTCGGCAATACTGAAGTTGGTCAAATGGCATTTGCAGCTTAAGGTGATGTAAATGGATGAGTATGATTGGCAACCGGAAGAAAAAGTTTTTACTTTCATAAAGAGATGTAGTGTTTAAGGAACTAAACTAATGTTTTTGCAAATTTAATATATAATAATCGTATCATAACAATAAAGGTAATATCCTGTGCATAAAAATAAAAATGTGTATTTCTATAGTGTTGACGGGTTATTTGGGATACCATTTGTATTTTGTATTTGCAAAATAGTCAGGCTGAATCCCAGTTTATTGTTTTTATAAAAAACAACTATTTATTAGTGGGGAATGTATGACATTGTCCGGCGAGGGGGAGACCATGTTTTGACATGGGTTCCGACCAATTAAGGGTATTTTGAAGATTTTAGACGAAAGGGTTAACATTTGTAATTTCAGAGTCTTGGAAGCTGGTTTATATCTGCACAGAAAATAATCAAAATGGGTCCATGTTATCACATAGCGCGCAATTTTCGATATTGTGTGGGTTTCAGCTGGAATTTCCAGCCAAAAAGGCTTTAGTAGGCATTTTAGGTCTTTGATAAATGTCACTGTGGGACAAAATCTTGGACATGATCTGGTGGTGGAAAATTCCCATTGAGAATGAAAGACCTTGGTGAATATATGAAAGCGCCAGAAGGAAAATTCGCTATAGGTCAAAGTTCGGAGACATGACGTGATCTCTTTTTATATCCTTCACCAAACTTAGTATTATGTCTTTGTGCATATCTCTGTAATAGGCAAAAGAAAACGACTTGGACACATGGTGGCTTTTGAGAATATGCATAGAATAACTTTCTGTGCCGATTTCTGCATGTCCGTCCCCCCGTCTGTCCATGTTAAATTGTAAACGAAATACCGGTCGCATTTAAGATCCGAATTGAATGAAATTTTGCACAAAGCTCATTTGGTTGGTCCCAGGACGAACTCCATTGAAAATTGATAACATCGAATATGATTTAGATACACCTCCCATATATATTTTCGTCCGATTTGTGGTAAATGGTACAACAAACTACCAATTCGAACAAAATTTTGCACATCATATTAAAGTAGATTCATATAGATATATGCGAATTGGAAATTGGTTCAGATTTCTATATAGCTCCCATTTAAAGTTTCGTCCGATTTTAACTAAATGGTGCACCAAACTCCCAAGGATTGTCCGATTCAGACAAAATCTTGCACAGCGTAATGAATTATGTCCAGTTTAATATGTGTGGAGTTTTTGAAATAGATTCATATTTAGATATAACTCCAAATTCCCACTACTTGTCTGATTAAGATAAAATCATGTGCAGTATTCGGAGTTTGGCCCAGATAACTGATGCGGTGTTTAATTGAAATCGGATCAGATTTAGGTATAGCTACCATAAAAAATCCATCCATACCATAAAAAAATTAGGCCGGTCGTCGAAAATTTCGATAACATGGGAGAAATGATCGAAGTTGACCGGTATATTAGCAGTCGTAACATCGCTCTGGGGCTAAAAATCTACCATAAAACTGCTTTAAACAATTTACACAAAACTGGTTTCAAAAAGAACCTTGATGTTTGGGTGACAAACAAATTAACAAAAAAAAAAAAAAAAAAAGAACAAAAGGACGAATAGACTTTCCATCTGCGAAGCCCTGACAAAACGTAATGAGATAGATCCATTTCATAAACGGATGGTGACTGGAGATGAGATATGGATCACATACGATAACCCTGTGCGGTGGGACTGGAAGGGAATTATTTATTATGAGTTGCTTCCATATGGCCAAACGCTAAATTCTGATCTCTACTGTCAACAACTAGACCGTTTGAAGATAGCAATTGACCAGAAACGGCCAGAATTGACCAACAGGAGAGGTGCCTTGTTCCACCAGGATAACGCTAGGCCACACAGATCTACAGTGACTCGCCAAACCAATCGATTATCATGTTTTTTTGCATTGCAAATTTTCTTTAATTGGAGGATTGTGAAAATCGACTACTAAAGTTTTTTTGCAAATAGAGAGTAGGACTTCTATGAGAGAGGCATTATGAAGTTACCTTTGAAATTGCAACAAATCATACAACAGAACGATGCATATTTCGCCCAACTCGGACATTCCGACGCATATTAAATAAACTCCTATAGTTCATTATATTATATTATGTCTTTGTGCATATGTTTGTGACAGGAAAAAGGAATCGAGATAAACACATTGTTCCTTTTTAGAATATGCATAGAATCACTTTCTGAGTCGATTTACGCATGTGCGTCTGTCCGTCCATGTATTTTTGTTAACAAAATACAGGTCGCATTTGTCATCCGATTTGGATGAAATTTGGCATTGCTCACTTATTTGGCCCAAGGACGAACCCCATTGAAATTGGAGAAAATCGGTACAGATTTAGATATAGCTCCCATATGTGCACCAAACTCCCAATATTTTTCCGATTGGGACAAAATTTTGTACAGCGCACTGTGTACTGAATTAGGCCCAGACTTATATATGTCAAGCATTGTTAAAATCGGTTCAGATTTAGACATTGCTCTTGTATATAGTTTCGTCCGATTTTTTGTGAATGATACACCAAACTCCGAATATTTGTCTGATTGGGACAAAATTTAGCACAAAATACTTAATTAGATCCAGACTGATATCTGCGAAGTTTTGCTAAAATCGGTTTAGATTTAGATATAGCTCCCATATATAATTTCGTCCGATTTTTTGTGAGTGATGCACAAAACTCCCAATATTTGTCTGATTGAGAAAAATTTTGCATAGTGAATGCAATTGAGGAAAAAATGATGTGTGATATGTTGAAATCGGTTCAGATTTTGATATAGCTCTTATATATATTTTTATGTTCGATTTTACGTAAATGTTGAAATAAATGGCCTATGTTTGTTCGATTTACACGAAATTTGAGCAGAGGGTATTAAGTTGAATTTGGAGTGATAACAAAAAACAAATGGTGTATGCAACAGTTGCTCAATTAGGTCCATGTGTTTATATATAGCTCCCATACATAATTTTACACGATTTCATACAAAGAGTCCAATTCTGCCCGTTTGACATGAATATTTTCATTGATTTCAGAATGCTATGTTTATGGAGTTTTTTTTAATTGGTTCAAATATCTATCTAGGTAGCACATTTAATTTCGCCCTATTCCATCTCAATAGTCCTCCAAATATTCTATGTCTGTTCTATCTACAGGATAATGTAGATATTAACATCTCTTGTATGTACCCAAAGTGGTGAATGGCCCGTCCGACTTCTGAATTTTTCTGGTATAAAAATGTTTTATAATTTAGTATCAGGGGACAATAACCAGCCATATATCTGTTGAATAATTTCTGAGGTAAAGAGCTCTAAACAAAATGTGTCGAAGGTACCTCAGTGTCCACCATATTAGACAGAACTTACGTATATACTTGGTGCCATATGTTAGAAAATATGTGTAATTATGTGTATACAAAATTGTACTAGTTCCATAATCGACCGATTATTTGATTGATATTTTCACATTTTTCTTCAGTGTTCCCAACCAAGAATCCTAAAAATAATACATTCAATGAATGGGCACAAATTGCCAGCTAATTACTTATTTCACAAATAAAATAGTTTGTTATTATTTAGCTAACCTCAAATATTTTACATAATAATTTTTCATAATCAATGTTGCATTTATGCGAAAAAAAATAAAATTACTAATTTACATGGACTATTAACAAAATCTACATTACAAACAAAAAAACAAAAGAATTAAAATTAAAGAATTAATTTTCACAGAGAATTCTCTGAAGCAAAAATCAAATCCAATAAATTCCCGGCAATGTAACCAATAATGCCACAGTCACTAAATACCAACGACGACATTACAAACATTTGTGTGGAATAAAAATTATTAAAATAAAAATACATTTTTAGCAAAGCTAAACATGCGGTTTTACAATATTTGTAATATTTTAATATTGTTGGTGGCAATTGCCATTGGTGGCGTTAAGGTGAGGTTATGGCAGGATTAGAAAATATTTATGTTTATAAAATTAATTTTTGTATTTTTTTTCCTTGTAGGCCGATAATGATGAGGACTTTCAAAAAGTCATAAAAACCTGTGAGGTAGAGGTCCCAGTTAACGAAGAGGACATGCAGGTGTTTATGAAAAGTAACATGGACCCCAGCAAGGCCACAACGCCCATTAAGTGTCAGGGTAAATGTATTTTGGAAAAACAAGGATTTTTTGTAAAGGGTGTTTTCGATGATAAGGCTTTTTTGGAGAAGGCTCTCAACCATCCTGCCTTAAAAGATCGCCATGCTGAAGTTACTAAGGCAGTGGATATGTGCAAGGAAAAGAAAGGCTCCGATGAATGTGAGACAGCTTTCAATATTGGTATCTGCCTTAAGGAGAACAAAGATTTCGTCTTTGGTCAACAACAATAATTTCAAAATTTTTAACGTGACAGAGAAGAGGAGGTTGGAGTTATAATTTTTTGTTGAATTAATGCACATTTAAATATACTAAATAATTAATAAAATAAAAAAATCAATTTACCTAATATTTGCTTATGCATGCACCAAATAATTTTCATGGTAATTACTTTAATTAAATAAATGCAAACAAAATGGACAAAACCCTATAACAAATACGATTAAGGAGGGTCATTAGCATTGATTAAAATTAAATAAATTCATATAAATATTCCAAAAATTTCCGATCACATAAGAGCAATAAACATCGTTATTCCAACAAGTAAAGATCTACTAAATTTTAAAAATGAATTCAATCTACATTGGCATACTTTGTTTACTACTAGCAGTCCTGCCAGCAAAGGTAATATTCTAGTCCTCCATCCTTTATTTCCATCCATTTCAAAACATTCCTTTTTCTCTCCCCCCTTGCAGGCTGATATGGATAATCTTATTGCCTCAATACGGTCGTGTCATGAATCGAATCCCATAGCTGCAGGTGAATTTGAGAAATTCACTAAAGATAAAAATGCCGAATTTGGTGATGATTTCAAGTGTCATGTGAAGTGTGTGCTGGAAAAAGAGAATGCCTTTAAAAATGGCAAATTTGATGATCAGGCCTTTGTTAAATTTTCTCTGGAATTACCTGAATGGAAAAATCGTCAGAATGATTTACAGAAAGCTGCCGATGAATGTAAAAACGAAAAGGGTGCAAATGAATGTGATTTGGCTTATAATGTTGCCAAGTGTCTTGTTGATCGTAATGTTATTGTCGTTGTTGCCAACAAAATGTAATAAAAGGATATTATTTGGTTTGTAGGATATTAACATTTTATTCTATTGGATATACACTCTATAAAAAAGTTTTACACCTAAATACTTATATACTAAAACTATAATCAATACCTTTCGAATAAAACACAGTTACTTTCATTTATTGTTGCATTCCTTCAATAAAAATAGGATTCGGAAGTCCATAAACCATTCTTTTAGATCTTTTCCATAAAAATAAATTAAGAAATTATCAGTTCCCAAATTGAATCTCTTGGAATATAAAGTATCCCCACATATGTGTACGGATAAATTCAGCAGACCTTAAACAAAGCGGAATTTTAATGTGGGAACAATAAGTTATGTATAAGAGCTATTTAAAAATCCGGTTCGATTTTAAGCAAAAATTGGTATATGTCAATCAGGAAATACACCTGAAGCTGAACCGATTAGACTTATTACGGTACGTTATTCCCAATTTCGACTGAATCGGAAAAACCGTGGGAGTTTAGTGCTCCTTTTATATAAAATCGTAGGAACATACATCTGGGAGCTGAATAAAAATCTTACCCAATTTCAGGGACACTTAGTACACATCATCATAGACTCAATATGCCACTGCATTCCAAATTTTGTCCCAATCGGACCAACCTTTGGAAATTAGTGCATGATTTACATAAAATCGGACGAACATATATATGGGAACCGATTTAAACTAAACTTAGCACATATCATGACTCAAATATGTATGTTGTGCTCAATTTCGTGTAAATCGAAAGACAAATAGGGGCTTTGGTGCATCATTTACATAAAATCGGCCAAATATATATGGGAGCTATATCTAAAACTATCGAACCGATTTTACCAATTCCTTGGACCATTTAAATGAATTATACCAATTTGCATCAATTGATGGATATGCTTAGATCAATTCAAACCAGTAAGGAAAGTAGTAAAGTCGGACGGGGCCGACTATATGAATACCTTCACCACTTTGGGCATATTCAACAGATGTATCTTAACAGACGTCGCATTTTTGAAGGACCAGTAAAATGAAATTGGACCCATAAACATGTCTTTCTGCAACCTATACTAATTTTTCATTTGGTCAGATATAGAGTTGATTCTTTTCAATGGGACAAAATTATGTAAATCAATTTAAAGTATATATCAATCGGATACCCGTTGATTATTTGGATACATATCTGATAAACATGAGGAGTTTGGTGCGCCATTTACTTCAAATCGGACGAAAATATGTATAAAAGCTATATCGAAATTTAAGCCGATTTCATCGAACCTTTAATTCAATTGGTATGTTAGTTTACAAACAAAATGGACCCATTAAATTATTGTTCACAATAAAACGATCAAAAACACATATTATTCAACAAAAATAATTAATTTATTCTTTATTGTTTCGCCGAATTCTGCACTTTCAAAATTGCTGGTGTTGCATAACTATAGACGCACTTTTACAAAATTAGATAATTTTTAAGAACCAATTTGGTCCGATTGCTACAACATTTTGTACAGCGTAATGATTTAGGTCCCGATGGATGTCTGTGAAGTTTTCTTGATATCGATTCCGATTTAGATATAGCTCCCATATATATTTTAGTCCGATATTAGGTAAATGTTGCACCAAACCCCAAGGTTTGCCCGATTAAGACAAAACATTGTGCAGCGTTAGGTATAGATAGACGTATGTGATGTGTTTTTGAATGGGTTCAGTTTGAGATTTAGCTCCCATATATATTTTCCTCCGATTTTAGATAAATGGTGCACCAAACTCAAAAATTTGTCCAATTGAGACCAAATTTGGCATAGCGAACTGAATTATGTCCGGTTTAGATATAGCTCCCATACATAGTTTCCTCCAATTTCATGCAAATGGACCACCGAGGAACTTATTTTTCTTCGCTTTAGATAAAATATTGCAGAGAGTATTGGATTGAAATTTGTTATTATCGCTTCAGGTTTAGATATAGCTTACATATATTTGATGTATGCCACGGTTGCTCAATTATGTCCTGATTTACATATAGCTCCCATATATAATTTTGTTCGATTTCATGTGCTTGGTGGGAAAATTTGTTTCTCTTCAAATGTAGGTGAACAGTTTCACATATAAGGTTTATAGAATATAAGGCGAATTTTAGTTATTTTCATAATTCTATCCCCATTTCCAACCGAATGGGGTTATAATTTGGCGCTCTCTATTCTTGAAGGAACAAAAACACTTCTTCGCAGAACATTTCAAATTAATATAGGTTCATGTTTTAATAACTCTAAATACAACCAAACTAACCTCTAACTCCCACAAAACTGAATAAAATTGAACCAAATGGCATTTTCTCTATACAGACTAATTGCACTTTATACGGACCTATGATCTCTCAGCAGCCCTGTGATATCTAAACACTACCAATCGGCCTGTTTACATACCAATTGGTCTTTATAAAGACATGAGATCTCTACACAGACCAATTCGACTATATAGACTCATTAGTTCTATATAAAGACATATGACTGCTCTGCAGACATACGGCCTCTATAAACTTTCAATTGGCATCTATACAGACCAATTGGTATTTGTATAGACCTGTGGTCTCTCTGCAGATCTATTGGTCTTTATAAATAAAATTGTTAGGGGAAGTGTTTTTATAAGTCCAATAAGATGGATGGACTAAGAATAATTTTTAAACATAACACAAATTTGAGTTAGGCTAGTATAACCATTTCCAGTATTACTTGACACGCATATATCATCGTTACAATTTGCAAATATTCCAATCAACGACCTATAGACCAGAAGTGATAGCACTAAAATATCGACAACGATACTATTATTGGTGTCAATGTACACGTCTGTGCACTATTCATTTTATACTTTTCAAATTACGCACTAATCAGTTATTATTCGTAATTATATAGTTAGGCAAATTGACAAATTAACAAATATGTAATTAAGCACTAATGGCATACAAATTTGGCTACTAATTAAACATAAACGGCCAAATAACTCAATTATAAAATAACAACTACAAAACACATTGAACAAAAATCATATAAATTTACGAACATTTGTGCCACATTCAAAAGTCAACATTTTTGCCGCCTAAGTTCAGCTACAAAAATGAAGTTATTTTACATTCCCCTATTGTACTTAGTATTCAACATAACATTGACAAGGGTAAGATCCTCGTAAGTAATTTTTTCAAATACTAGAAATAATTGATTTTCCCTCCTTCCAGGCTGACAAAAAAACTTTCGCTGCCTCGATGGAAAATTGTCGCAAAGAATTTCCAATAACAAAAGATGAAATGAAACAATTTGTCGAAGACAAAAATGTTCAATTTAGTGAAAATTTCAAATGTCACATCAAATGCATATTGGAAAAGGAAAATATTTTGAAAAAGGGTATGCTGATAGTCGATGCATTTCTAAAGTATTCTCTGGAATTGCAATCGCTAAAAAATCATGAAGCTGAGGTGCGTAAAGCAATTGAAGAATGTAAGAATGATAAGGGTACCGATGATTGTGAAACGAGTTTTATGTTGGCAAAATGTCTGCATGGATATCATACATTGAGGGTGCAATAAGTGCGAGGGGAAATCCGTTTTTATTTGTAAAGTAAAATTTGCAACAATAAATGTTTTAATACGCATGCAATTTCAAATTTTTTAATTGAGTTATTTACTCTATTTACTGAAAACGGCCAGGAATATGACTGATCCCCTGGATGAAATCATAAAGTACATGCATACACGATATTTCCAGTCCAGAATACACAGTACAAACTTTAAGTGCAGATCCGAAATAATTCAAAATTTTGTAAAACCGGAATGACTGGCCCTTCAGAAGGAATACAATTATTTTGTAACATCGATGTGGCCGAAACCTTTGGTGTAGAAAGCTCTGACAGTACAGAGCTTTCTACACCAAAGGTTTCGGCTGCACGATGTTGGCTGTAGGCAGGCTTTGGATATTAGACGGTTGATATAGTTGATGCTGATGCCATGGAATGGTGTTATATATTGACATTGCCTAAATTGAGAAAGGAACAAAGCTTCACACAGACCTCTCCAACTCTTACTCGATGTTAATAGGAGAACGGAGTGATACAATCTGATGGACGGTTTTACGTAGTAGTGGAAATCGGGCCAGGTTCTACAGGTGCCTCCTAAAACACTAGGTGGTGTAGCAACTTTTTCATTGCTCGAAATTTTAATCACCAACAAGATAGGTGCCTTCTGATATCCTGCGATTTCATCATCAGTCAGCCCGCTCAATACCACAAAACTCCCCCTTTCTTTAAACCTACAAGTAAAATTATGTCATTATCATGGGCCCGGTTTTTTTAGGAAGCATTGTTGAATTGGGATTCACGGAATAATAAGAGGGGTTTATATCGCTCAGATGGGCATTACATCAATCAGGGTGGACAAAACTTTACCACCTTAAATTTAGACGTCCCATTGGTTGATATACTATCTTTGGATTTAGACAAAGGATGCTGTTTCACGAGCATCCAGATCACCTACCAGTATTTTCCACTCCTGGAGCCCATGCTGTCGGGTCTAGTTGAACTTCACCAATTCGTAAAAAAGTGAATTTGTTAATCGCTGTTTTGCCCTACACAGAATATTATATATTTATGCATATGTGTGTAACAGGTAAAAGGCCGTCCGTACGGTTCATTTAGATATAGCTCCCATATATAGCTTCGTCCGATTTTATGTAAATGGTGCAACAAAATCCCAGTAATCGTCCGATTGAGGGAAAATTTGCACAGACTACTGAGCTAGATCTAGATTGATATATTCCAAATTTTGTTGAAATCGGTTCAGATTTAGATATAGTTCCCATATATACTTTCGTCTGATTTTAAGTAAATGGCGCACCAAACTACCAATATCGGTCCGATTGAGAAAAAATTTTGCATAGGGTTCTGAAATTACTGCAGGTTGACGTCCGCGAAATTTTTTTTTCGTCCGATTCCATGTCAATGGTGCTCCTCTATTCTATCTAAAGGATATTTTACATATGAGCATCTCTTGTATGTACCTAAAGTGGTGAAGGATATCATATAGTCGGCCCGTCCATCTTTTGAACTTTTCTTACGAATTTTTCAAAGAGAAATTTTGCAATGCAAGATAATCGCTTGGTGCCAAGTCCGAACTGTATGGCGGATGCATTAAAACTTCCCAACAAAGCTCCCGAAGTTTTTGGCGAGTCACTGTAGATGTGTGTGGCCTAGCGTTGTCCTGGTGGAACACGACACCTCTTCTGTTGTCCAATTCTGGCCGTTTCTGGTTAATACCTATTTTCAAACGGTTCAGTTGTTGACTGTAGAGATCAGAATTTAGGGTTTGGCCCTTCCAGTCCCACCAAATGAATAGCAGAACCGTTTGAGGTGCACAGGGTTATCGTATATAATCCATATCCCACCTCCAGTCACCATCCGTTTAATAAATGGGTCTATCTAATTCCGTCTGCCAAATTTCGTGTAAATCGGTCCAGATTTAGATATAGCTCCCATATATAGTTTCGTCCGATTTCATGTAAATTGTGCACCAAAGTCCCTATTTATCATTCGATTTGCACGAAATTTGGCATAACGTACTGAATTGAGCCTAGAGTGATGTCTGCCAAATTTCGTGAAAAATCGGTCAAGATTTAGATATAGCTCCCATACTGTAAATGGTGTACCAAAGTCCCTATATATCTTCCGATTTACACGAAATTTCGTATAACGTACTGAATTGAGCCTAGAATGATGTCTGCCAAGTTTCGAGAAAATCGGTATAGATTTAGATATAGCTCCCATATATAGTTTCGTCCGATTTCATGTAAATGGTGCACCAAAGTCGCTATATATCTTTCGATTTGCACGAAATTTGGAATAACGTACTGAATTGAGCCTAGAGTGATGTCTGCTTTGTTTCGTGAAAATCGGTCCAGATTTAGATATAGCTCCCTTTTATTATAGATTGATTTTATGTAATTGACGCAACATGGAACCAATAGGAACAAAACGTTCTGAAATTAGTATAACCTAACCTGTGACAACTTTGTTTGAAATCGTTTAATATTTGGATATAACTTCCGTTTAGTTTGATTCCCGATTACAAGTAAATTGGGCATCAAACTCCTCATGTTAGTCAGATTGGCATCAAATTTTGCACAACGTACAAAATTGAGCATAGAATTACGTAGTTGCGTTTTCTAGAAGTACAGACATAGCCCAACGGATGACCTATTTATATTTGTTTGAAGTCGATTTACATACTTTATGGATAGATCTAGGTAGATTCACATTTAGATAAATATCACATATTTTATTTCATCCAATTTCATGTTATTAGTCCTGTATAATATACCCATAGTGGTGAAGGGTATCATATAGTCGGCCCCGTCCGACTTTACTTCTTTCCTTACTGGTTTTTAATCAAGTTTTGTTTATATGGTATAAAACAGCTTTATGTAAGATTTTTAGCTCCTGTGCGATGATACGACTGCAAACATGCCGGGCAATTTCATTTCTCCGACTTTATCGACATTTTCGACGACCGGCCTAATGGATTTCTTTTTCCCCAACCTAATATATACTCAAAATAGGGAGGGACTTTAGATGGGACCATGTTTAACACATATCTATGATGAAAATTTTATTTATAGATGTATTTTATCCTATTAGAAACCGAAGTAACAAATTGCAGAAACAAATATTGGAAAATGCGGCTACGATATTCAAAATACCGAACATGGGTTGGAACTTTAAATGCGGCTATGCCAAAACTTGTAATAAATTTGTATACCTACTAAATGCCTATTATTGTTGGACTTATCATAAGATGTGTTGATAACTTACAAGTATCTTCAGGTGGAATCCGACAACACAACTTACAAATCAAAAGAGTATGTTCTATTATTTTAAATATGAAAATTGCAATACACTTTACTGTCGCAATTATTGTGATCTGAAAACTCCAAAATTAAAGTCAGAATAAAAGCAAAGTCTATCCCGTTTTACGGCTCTAAACACCAAGACTTATATTATGTAAAATCTGTACAAAAATTATTTTTTTAATTTGCTTGTGACCTATACACCATGAACCATAAACAGTTTGCAATTTTCAGTTTAATCAAATCATTTCTGATTTTTAAAAATCATTACAATACACAATTGGCTACTCAAAGTATTGGCCTTCAGACACATATAAATAACGTCAAGCATAACACAACAGTAGTTAAATTTCCGAGAAAACATAACAATGAAGTTATCCTATTCTCTCATAGTTTTCTTCTTTGTCGCAGCCGCATATATCAAGGTAAACATTTTAAGGATAGTATTGTAAAAATTCCCATATTTTATTTTTCCCTTTATTCCAGGCCGATTTGGACAGCCTTACAGTGGCACTAAGGGATTGTATTTTGGAATATTCAATAACCGAAACAGAAATGAATAAGTTTTTAGAAAATCCAAATGCAAATGTTAGCGATCATTTCAAATGTTCTTTGAAATGTGTTCTGGAAAAAGAAAAACTTTTCAAAAATGGAACACTCGATGATAAAACCTTTGAGAAAAAGGCATTGAATATATCTTTGCTGAAGGGTCACCAGAAAGAAGTTGTAAAGGCTGCAGAAAAATGTAAAAATATAAAGGGTAAAGACGATTGCGATACGGCTTACAAAATTGTTTTGTGTTTGTAAAAATTATGAAGATATATATAATTTAAAATGTATTTTGAAATAAATTATTTTTTGGATTTGGGCAACCGAACGCTTCGTAAAATGAAAATAACTATGTCAGTATATAATTATGTACAAATGAATAAAATAAATATAATTTTGAAAAGGCTAGCAATTTTGTTCAATTTGAGAGCTGCTATATATTATATATTTCTGGTCAATAATTCGGGTACTAAGAGGATAATACGCCTAAATTAATTTTACAGTCAAGATATAATGTTTCTGCACCATTTTCGATATATTGAAGGCTCTAAGCGAATTTTGCTTGTTTCGATTTCTGTCAAAAAAACTCACAGGGGAAACCATCGGACAAACGAAATTTCATGAAATTCTTAATTTTAAAATATCAAATTTCACGTGGCCCAAATCACCGAGGACAATTGTAATCAACATTTTGAAAGATAAAACTGACCGGAATAAAGGAGTGCATTTCAAATCATTAATCAAAAATTTTGATCTGATTCCAAAAATTGAGGTCTAAAGACTCAGCCGAACCATAAACAGCACAAAACAATTAAATGTTGAGAATATAGAAGCTTGTCAACATAACTATACGAAATTTTTGTTTATTGACGTACCCTCCCAGATATCGAAATCGGATGTGATATAGATATCCAATATATATTTATACCCTACACAACTACGTTGTCAGGGTATTATAGCTTTGTGCAGCCCCATGAGTTTGTAACGCCGCGAAATATTGGTCCTAGACCCACGTTTAAGTATACCGATCGTCATATCTCGACTAGCTGAGTCGATCTAGACATGTTTGTCCGTCCGTCCGTCCGTCTGTCCATTATAATTTGTAAACACGATACAGGCCACAGTTATGGACCAATCTTCACGA